TATATATATATATATATATATATATAAAAAACTCGAAATCGTTGTAGGAACCCATAAAGCTTATATCCTGAATTCGCATTTGGTCACACCATTAGGTGCTTGAGTATTTGTCTTTTTTAAATCAATTTTTTTTTCTATTTTTAATTATCCGAATAAATATCTATATTTAGACGTGAAGGCTCAAGATTTTTCCAAGTAAAAGTCATCATTTATTCTTCTGAGATTATAATGACTCAGTATTTCGGCAATAAATTAATTGGAGTATTGAACTAGAGGTCCATATTGAACGTCGACCAATTTTGACTGAAGTGATGAGTGCATTCAAGTACTAGAATATAGTAATTCATTTGGCTATAAAACAATATTATTCACAAGACTTGCTTCTTAGACATTAATCATGTCTATAATCTAAAAAACTAGAGTTCTGCATGAAGGACTTGTAAAATCTGGACAGGAGTATATGCACTAAAATAAACAAGCGAATTTTCGACATAAATTTTCGAGGGAGGTCGTTGTAAATTGGCTTGCTAGGTTTGGACATAAATATTCTAGTACTTTGGAGTTTAGTTAAAAAATAATATTTAAAATTATATTTGAACATGTATTTCACTTGAAAAAAATATTATAATTTTGTGAAGAAGGAAAAAGAAATCCGTAAATTGAAAAAATAGTTCGAAAAACCTTCAAAAATTAACAAAATTTCATGGACAAACACTTTTTTGATTAAAACAAGGAAATAAATATCTCTGTCCACACCACCAAAGGATGTGGTGCAGTAGATGGGACTGCTCCTCCCTTAACCAGAGGTCTCGGGTTCGAACCCTGAGTATGAAAAAATCCTTGGTAGGGAGCGCTTCCCCCGAATGGGGCCCTACGCAGCGCGAATCCTGATATAATCGGGCTCCAATACTAATACCGAACATCAAATGAGAAAATATATATCTCTGTCCACGGCCGCACGCGCGCAATTAAAATTGCTACGTGTGAAACTGAGAATCAGAGAAAGACATCCACGTCTATATAACAGAAATTTGTGCCGCCTTTACGTGTCATCTCACCTCGCCACCTTTCCCTCTTTGTCACCAAACTCCCTCTCTCCCTAAGGGATCGTTTGGTTTCATCATAAATATGGAGTATAATATCTTCATAAAATTCAACGTTAATAATAATTTACTTGTGGCTGTTTCAATTGATGTGCTACTCTTTTCTTCTTCTTTTTCTTAAATATATAGAAACAACTTAATTTTTTTAACTTTTGTTTTATGCTTAACAACAGAAGTCTTTATAGTCAGGATCAGATCCATCTCTTAACTTACGGGTTCACGTAAATAATGGCAAAGCAACATAATCACAAGTTATATTATATATATACGTAAAATATTATATTTTAAAAGTATATAATACATATTGAAAATCCTTTCTCGGAATTTTTTATTTTATTTTTTTAAATTTGAATACTCTTGGAAAAATTCCTAGCTTCGCCACTCCACGTAAACTTAGTAGATTTTGTTCAAACAGTGTAAATGACTTCGAAAAAATTAATAAATATCTATAAATATTTGAATGTGAACTCAATAACTATTGAAGATTTACTTGATCGAGATCATCGCAGGAACACATAAGCATTAAATTCTGGATCCACCTCTGTTTATAGTCATACAAATACTATAATATATTTAAGGTCACGGTTTCAAGAAAAATCTTTAATTTTTGAAGTTTGTAATGTCACGTAAAGTAAAACAGAAGTAATATTTTATTACTTTTTGAAATTTGCATAAAATTTGCATTATATAATATAGTCAAACCTCTCAATATCAGTTTTATTTATTTTTAAATTTTTTGACTGCTATAGTAATGTGCTGTTATAAATAACATATATTATAACATAATATAATATTCGATTTCACGAAAAACTCGACATTTATAGTGAATATCTACTATATAAGAATGCTGTTATTAAAAGATCTTATTTAATTAGTATTTTTATAGACTACATAACTAATACATGCATATATGTTACGCAGAAATTCATGATATGGAGGATAGAGGTGGAATAACAAATGCGGATTGTAGTCATAAATTAAACAATTCTTTTTAAAAATAAATAAAGCACACATATTTTAACCTCTATATTATATTTCCTGCGCGCGTTTATTTAATATCTGCAATACTAATCCTTTACATTCCCTACATTATTAATACCTACACAGCCTAAACCAAACAACCCCTAACACACTCCATCTTTTAATTAGCTTCTTCTTCTTCATCACCTTACGTAAACCATAATGCAAACTTTGTATTAAAATTCTCTCTTTATTTCGTCCAAGTTTACTACACACCATGTAGCAAAACAATATAATAGCAATGTCATTAGAGTGATTAGTTAGATATAATTAGAATGATGGTATCAGATTCCGAAAATAATAAACCAAGGAATCTCTTTCATAGAAGAAATCTTAAATATTACCATAAAAGACAGCAAATACAACGTATGACTACTTCTTCTGAAGAAGAAAATGGTTGTTTTGTTCCCAAAAAACGGTTCTGTATTAAGGATTTGGTGGCTGAGGTACAAAAAGATGAAGAAATTGACAACAAAAGTAGTTCATCAAACTCTACTGAGTCAAGTTGTGAGAGTACAACTGCAGGATCTACGTCATCTCAAATATCGAGTCAAGAATTGAAATATGGTTTTATATCAATGATAGGGAGGAGAAGAGTACTAGAAGATGCTATAACTGTGGCGTCGAGAATTAATAATAATGAGTTTGTTTTTTTTGCTGCATATGATGGACATGGAGGTAATAGGGTTTCACATGCATGTCGTGATCATTTGCATTATATTATTGAGGAGGAAATATTAGAGAGAAAAGGAAGTAATAATAATAGTAATATAGATTGGGAGAAGGTGATGATAAAATGTTTTTTGAAAATGGATGATGAAGTTATAAAAGAAGAGAATGAGGGAGAGGTGAATGAGGAGGAGGGTGGGTATGATGACGTGGAAAGGACAGTCGGGTCGACGGCGGTGGTGGTGGTGGTAGGGAAAGAAGAGGTGGTGGTGGCTAATTGTGGTGATTGTAGGGCTGTACTTTGTAACCGTGGTGTTGCTATACCCTTGTCCAATGACCATAAGGTCAGTATTTACCTAATTTTTTCTGTGTTCATATTGTCGGTCTTAAATTCGAATAAAGAATGAGAATTGCATTAGGCTAATAAGAAAATAAATAAGTTACGATGAATCCTCGTCTCAAATGGAGTGACGACTCTAATTTATTTGGGATTGAGCCATAATTATTCTGTACATAAGTTCTTAAATTGTGCCATGTTTTTTTGTGTAGCCTGATAGACCAGATGAGAAGAAAAGGGTAGAAGCTGCAGGGGGTAAGATTCTATATTGGAATGGTAGTCGTGTCCAAGGAGTCCTTTCTACTTCAAGATCCATAGGTACGAATCATTCTCCTTGCTCCCTTAGTGACTCGGTTGGGACCGAAAAATCAGATGTCATGCGGAAGCTAGTAAAGCAAACCTTGAATGACGATAAATCTAACAATAACAGAGAAATCTACCAAAAGAGACACAAACATTTAACGTGGTTCAGTCAACTGACCTACGTCCACGGTCCGAGATGAGCAATCCACTATATAAAAAAAGAGTACAAAATATCGAGAGAATAACCTTACCAAGAGGCAAACACAAGTAACACACTAACATTTATTCTCCTCCTAAACACGACTCTTAAGCCTCATATGGCTACATTGTGGATGCTACTGAACTTGAAGTAAGGATCCCCAATTTATAGAACTCCAAACCTTATCCCACAAGAAAAGGGACTAGCCAAATATGGAAGATTTATAATTTCCTTCTACAAAAAGGAAAATCTAATCAAGGTGAATATGTTGTCCTTTCCTTCAAGAGATAGGAAAACTAAATATGGTAAAAAGAAAAATCAGGACAACGCCTAACAGACTCGAACTCGCTTCTTCAGCCATGGCTATCGAAACTAGGGTGGCGGAAGGTAGGTCGCCGAAAAATTATATCGTGTATATAAGACAAAAAAAAAATTGTACATATATATTAGATATTGAATCCAATTGATTTCTTGATGTGTTAACTTTTTTCATTTTTTGAATCGCCTTGGTAAAATCCCTGCGTCCTCCACTAGCCTTAGGGTTGGCGGTTGAGAGTGCTTAACACTTATAGCAAACACTTTAAGATCATATCCCCTCTTCTTCTTTTTTTCTCCCCTCTATTTCCTTTTATGCATCTATTCAACTTATGATCGATTACCTATAAGCATCTTTGAGTTTAACCTATAAGGTAATTACGGTAAAAGGTGTTTATATGTAACCTAGATAATTATAGGTAAATTTCTATTATTAGTACTAATGGACGATCTAGTAAATGTCACGTGCTATCACAAGTTAAAATTCACTATAAAAGTGTGAAAAATCTTTATACAATTATAATATTTATACAATTTAAATCCATTATATTTTAGGAGATTTGGTAATGTGGAATAATAAGTATAAGTTGAACACTTATTTGTAATACGATATTGGTATTAAATTTTGCTTTCTTATTAGTTTCTGAAACAGGGGATATATCCTTGTATCTCACGTTGGTTACATAATTCCATTAAACAGGTGACCATTATCTAAAACCATTCGTGATACCTGAGCCAGAGGTGACAGTGTACAAAAGAAACGAATGGGATGAATTCCTAGTAATTGCGACAGATGGTTTATGGGATGTAGTTTCAAACGAGCTAACCTGCGAAGTGGTAACGACATGTCTCGACGGACAAATTCGTAGAAGGTTCCCGGAGAGAGACCGTGCGGCGGAAGCCGCCGCGCTTTTGGCGGAGCTGGCCATTGCCAAAGGAAGCAAAGACAATATTAGTGTCATAGTAGTTGAGCTTGATAAATCTAGTGACATTATAGTTTCGTGATTTCCCAAGTTTTGTCTTGTTCAAATTTTCCTACATTAGTGTGTTTTCTTGGGTGTCTAGTTTGAGAGGTTGAGTGACAAGTCCAATGTATAGTTAAGAGTGTTTTAGGTTGGTTGAGCCTTTGAAGGGGGCATCATGAGACCAGTCTTTAATGTATATATGTACTAGAATGCTTGGGTTATTGCAATAACAATTTGTTACTTATCCTAAAAAGTTTTTATTGATGAGATCTCTCGAGTGTCTACGACTGATCTGATATATTTTGTGGTGAATAGAAAATTCCTTTTTATGTTGGTATCGTCACGACAATTCAATTTATTTGGCAAACGAGGTTCCCTAATCTTTAATGTGTATGTATTAGAATGCTTGGGTTCGTCTCATATTTCAATAATATTTTGTTACTTGACCTGAAAAGTTCATATTGATGCGACATTCCATACGTCCACGGCAGATCTGTTCTGTGATGAAGAAAACTTTGTTTTTTGATGTTGAAAAGTATTGTCACAACAATTCAATTTGTTTGGCAAACAGGTTTCCTAATCTTTAATGTGTATGTACTAGAATGCTTGGGTTCGTCTCATATTGTAATAATATTTTGTTACTTGGTGTGAAAAGTTCATATGCTAATGACACATATATTTGACTTAAAATTTAAGTCCATAGTCAAATTCATAGTAACAGTACTATATTTTACTCCATTGGTTTCGTATCTTTTTCTTTTTTGTGTTGGAAGCGGATTTAAGACAAGTCATGCAGGGTAAGCCCAACCTATTGCTTTCGACTCAAACTAGATATAAATATGCAAAAGTAGAAAATGAATACCATAATCAGGTATCAGAGTTGGTGTTTAGAGAGTTTCAAAAAAGGCAAAAATACCAATGTTAACCATTCTTTGAATGGAAGAATACAGAATACAAAAATATATTGAAAAGCTTACAACATCACAAACAAAAACCAAAGTGAAAAGCAAAACTTATAGAAACCTTCAAGCTGCATTCATTCAATTACATAGGAAATGAAGACTTTAGATATATAATATAGAGAAGCAAAACTTTCTTTACTTCTCAACCCCTTCACTCTTTTCTCTGTCATTTTTCTTTCTCAATACTATGTATATAAATAAAGTGGAGGAGAAAGAGGATGAGCACTTGTTTAAACTTGTCTCTTCACTCCTTTCTTCCTCCAACTTTTCCACCTTATTAACCTAAATCTTCATCACCTAAAGTCCTACTCAAACTGCAAACCAACCAGAAGTTGAAACTTACAGACAAACTTCCAAAAGAAAGAAAAAAAAAAACCCAATAATGAAATAGATAAAAAGACCCCCTTGAATGCGCCGTGTAGTATAGCACTATAGCTGCACAAATCTTACATTAATACCCCAGAAAAATGTGTTTGCATTTCCTCCTTAACTTCTTGTTTTTCGTTCATCAGTCTTTTAGACTAGAGTGTAGCTTGAAACTGAGACAATTGCAGGAGATGCAGTGTGAATGTACACGAACTCGAGGCTTTTACCAGCTGGTAAAGAATTTTGCCAAGCTGGGAAGATGAACGAGTCACCGTATTTTGTAAGACCCCATAGAGGACCGTAGAGCTTGGATATTGCGAGCTTCAAGTTCTTAACTGTCTTTGCGGACTTGTTAGTAACTATTGCTGAGTATCTGTAGTAAGTCTTCCCGTTCAGTGCCCACGAACTAGTTGCCCTTTGTTGAATAGCAACATGAGCATTAGCTGCAGATATATTAGTTTATTAGAGTCCATTAAAACATTGGTCTATAAACATTGACACAAGAATAAGACAGCCCGGTGCACTAAGCTCTCGCTATGTGCGGGGCCTGAGGAAGGGCCGGACCACAAGGGTCTATTGTACGCAGCCTTACCCTGCATTTTTGCAAGAGGCTGTTTCCACGGCTCGAACCCGTGACCTCCTAGTCACATGGCAACAACCTTACATACATTGACAGAAGAATAGCAAGTGAAAATACCTGGGACTGGAATTACTCTTGGCCTTGGAGCTGGAGTTACTTTTCCTCTTGGCGCCGGCTTTGGAACTGGCTTTGGCGCAGGAACAACTGTAAGACGCATAGAAAAGAATTCTCAGCATAAAACTTAAGAAGCATACTATTAAATGACTCATAGAAAGATTTTAATTACTACAACAACTACATTTGAATCCCAAGCAAATTGAGTCAGGTTCACAACAAGCGTAAAGTAGGATTAGCTCATGTTAATTCACTAAAAGATACCTGGGAGGAGCTGATTGTAACCACTATGACCAGCATGAAGTCTTGCCAACACGCCAATCAATGGAGCATTGTTGTAAGTGGCAGGCTCAGTTTGCTCATAGTTGTCTCTTTCATCAGCAAAGTTGTCATAGGCATCAGGTCCACCAACAATGGCACCAGTAAGGAGATTAGGGTCGCTCGCCTTTCTGCTATACCAGGTGGCATATCCTCCACGGCAGGTAACAAAAGTTGGATTAACCTTAATAGAAACAATGGAAGAACCTCTGTGGTGTACTTGTCTTGGGTAATTGCTTCCATATCCCACCATGTAACTTGTCGCTCTCGGATTATCTCCAAGAATGTAGTCCACCTAAAACATGCTCAAGAGTTAGTCAATGTAAATCCAATGATTTCAGGTCATAATAATCTGTTCTAATTAATATCTTTACCTGTGACTTGGCAAAAGAGAGGAGCTCATTTGGAGATACATAACCAGAAGAACACTTGAGGTATTTGCCGGCGGAAGTCAAATAGTCAGAATAAACAGAGGCAAGGAATGAAGCACTTGTAACAAATTGCATATTGTTCCATCTCTGCCTGAAGATGAGACCACCAGGAGTTTTCTGTGCATTTCGGTTACCCTTTCCGAGGCATGAACACATGAAGTTCTCTGCTTTCTGCTGGTACCTCTCAAACACAGGTGCATTGTGACCAGCTTTCCCTGACATCAATATCTGCCAACAGATATACCAATTAGTTATTTACCTATGAAACTACTACGGTATCATTTGGTTTGAAGACAAGTTATGCTGGGATGAGTTATCCTGATATTGATAATCTGGTATTAATTCTTATTGAGTGTTTGGTATGTCGTATTGATCCTGGTTTATCCTTTGATTCATGTTTATTTATGTTACTGTCGACTTGAAATTTGTAAATTCTTTTAACATAAATTTACCTGAGAAACAAGAGTTTGGACACCAGCATACTTGACATCCCAGCCAAATTCAGTCATGGACCAACCTGTTCCACCAAGTGCATCTCCATTCCTCCCTAAGTAATTCATGTAAAATTGATTGTTTGATGCCTTGTACAACCATGCTGCTGCCCATAATAATTCATCCTGTAATAACAAACATCCCCCAACAAAAAAAGAATTTAAATTTTACAAATCATAAAAAAATATTTAAGTTATTATATTGACAATATAAAAAGAGTAAGTTAATCGGTTATTGCAAGTTATTAAACAATTTTCAAGGTTATCATATCGGACTTCCAAAATTTTCATAAAAATTTTTTTCCCATGCACCAAACTGCAACATTTTCGCAAATGAAATGTATATCCAACATAATTTCAAATTCCAAATACTATTTCTCAACTTAGCTCAAAATACTATTTTTTTCCAAAAATTACAATTTTTATGTCCAAACGCCCAGTTAAAACACCTTAAAACTAAAGTTGTAGAGGTAGTTAATTAATATTGTTACCTAATTGACAAAGTATAGAATTTACAAATACCCATAATAATTGTGCCTCAATCCCAGACTAGTTGAGATCGGCTATATATATCCTTACTACTTTGTTTAAATTCAACTCATATCATCATACCGAATAAAACAAAAAGAATAATATACTAAAATAACATACCGCGTATCCACTAACGGATCGGTAATATTTTTGAGCCACAGTAATACTGCTATCATATTTGCCCCTATATTTATCAGCAAATTCGAAGAGCTGAAAACAAAAGTAACAAATTGTAAGTTGAGCAGGTAAAATGATGTAATACAATTAGAATAACAGGGCATATTAGGAACTACGAAAACTTAATTGTTGGTAAAGAAGTCGCGCTTCGTATGATAGTACGGTACAACAGCACCGACAGTCCTCCACATCACGTGGCAAAAGCGATGTTTAAGGATCAAAAGATGTCGACGGTTAAGATTTGGCGAGTACATGAGATCGCACGGTTACTAAAACACTACCCGTGATTGACGGCAAATCTGTTCCCTGTGGTCCCCACCATGATCCTTTATTTACGCTGAAAGATTTTGCTACCATTTACACCGGCAGCTAATGACCTAATGTTATTAATGCTCATTATTATTCAAGCTCAAAAGAGCAAAAATTTAATTATTTCACATTATTTCAACCGTGAAAAATGAAAAAAAAAATTACTCATATGATAAAGTTATACTTATGTATATTTAATTATTTATGAAGGGGAGCTTTGTGGTAAAGTTGTTGTCACGTCATTAGAAAGCCCCGAGTTAAAACCATGGAAACAACCTCTCGTGGAAATGAATGATAATACTGCTTACAATAAATCCTTGTCGTCCATACTCATCAATCTCCTAATGATAAAATTAGTATATTATAGAGCAATCTTTAATGCAACTAAATAAGGTTAATTGGCACCTCATTCTCTAGTAATAACTTATGTTAATTGACCGAAATTGGAGAAGGAAAAAGCAATTTACTAGTATGGCCCTTGACCTAACATCAACCAATACACATGGGTCCTTTACCTTTTAAAAAGGTAGGACAAGACCAACAATGTCGTAAGACCATTTTTAGTGTACTGGTGAGGAAAGGAATAAATTATTTTACCTAAAAGTTTAGTACTTTGATGATATCATTAAGTTATATAAAAATAATTTCTATTATCAATAAATATTAATTTCTGATAGATTGATAGTGTGTAAATTTTTATTATTTCTCATCCAGTGTTTGATATACGCTCTGTAAACAAATTAAATCAAGATTCGGACAAAAAAATCTCATATTACATGATAAGTGTTTATTAACAAAATAATTTTATACTTAAGGTCGAACCCGAAATTTTGCATGGAATTTATTGTGGGCGATAGAGAAATGAATGAAAAGTAGCAATACGCCCCCACAACTAACCTACACCGACAAACAAGTAGCCCTGACAAAAAAGCTGAGCTAATCGTAACTACCTAATTACTCGGGACCCTTAACTAACATGCGCCCTATT